GCTCTTGGGCCTGCCAGATTCTTGAATATGCCCAGACTGGTTTTATTCTTCACAGCATTCACGCTCGCTATCGATATATATTCATTCATGACAATTGCCATGTGTATGGTTTATAAGTTGGTAACCATCACAGGTAATAGTCCCAGTGAGAAACAATTGCTAATATGGATGGCATTGTCCTTCCTACTTCCCCTCTCCACAGGGGCGAGTTGAAATGAGTTGGAGGCAATTCAAGTCATATTCTCTGTTCATTTTAGGTTGCTTTGCTCATATACAATCCTAATTTTGCGGAACTGCATGCTACGCTGAACAATCTTCGACCCGAATATGAATTACAGAGATATGGTGATTATACCGGTCTGCCGAATGTAAAGAGTATATACGTCATGTATTTAATCGTTGTGATATGCGGCATTGGTGTATCTTCATATATTATAATGATAATAGCCGGACTGAAGGTGAGTTATGCCGATGTACTTCTTTGGACAGAACTATCTCGAATTTCTAAAATGCTCCTAGTCAACTATAGAGTTTTTTTTCAGATCAGAAGTTTTGTTACTAAAAGACACATCAACATGTCTACAAAAAACGCTCAAGCATTCAATATGATGGTAAAAGTAAGTGATTTTAGATGTTTTAACCTAAAATATAAAATTTCTAGTTTTGTTTTAATAATCTTAATTTAGGCTCTCGTAATTCAATCATTCATACCGGTATTCTTCTCATTTCCTACAAAAATCCTCTACATGCTGTTGCAATTTACATCGTTTCGTTGGCTCATTGCCGAGTATATAATATTCGCTATCTCTCCAGTATTGGCTGTAATCGACCCATGTATTACCCTGTACTACGTTTTACCTTATAGACGTTACCTTGTGAGGAAACTAGGTTTTGTAAAGAATGTCGTGCCGGGTTCTTCTGCAGTTGGAAGCCCGCAATCGTGGAGTTCATCGAGAATTCAATCTGCACGTGCCGTAAGTCAGCAGGGCCAATCCTAACTATTTCACGCGGCAAATGATTGTATATTATTGATGT